ATCGCTTCCTCAGCCACTGTGGTCACCATAATGACCCAGACAGTGGCCTGTGGGTGCTGGTCACTGGGAAAATCTGAGAGACCTGAAGAATGTGGTTTTCAAAGAGCAGAGAACAACATAGCTCCAGAGACAACTCGAGAGAGAGAGAGAGAGAGAGAGAGAGAAAGAGAGAGAGAGAGCGCACATCCATGCTTTTGTTCTTAAATGTGTACATCCAGATATATGTATATCGAAAGAATTTATTTTATCTGTATATGAGCAAAATAAATAGCTGAATGATTCAATGAAAGCATGTTTGATTTTATATCACTTAATAAGACTCATTTCTTCCTTGTATAAAAGGCATCAAAGCCTAACTCAAGGGGTTTGTGTGCGGATTAAAAGAGATAATATTTACAAATTGCTTAATATAAGCTGGTGGTGCTATTTATCTTATGAATGATTTCTTTTCATTATGTATTTTGGTAGTATTTATTTTTACTTCTTTGTGGTAATATTTACTGATTTTTACATATTGTCTAGGCTTAGATTTCCCCTCTACATGTACATTTCCTAACACAGGGGACTCAGTGTCCATCCCAGGCTCTCCCCTGGGAACAGAACACCAGTGGAAAATATGTCCGACCTCCTTCAAGCTGGCCTGCTCAGCGCCCAGCTCTCCATGGGGCTCCTGCAAGAGCTCCTTCCTGTTTCTCTCTGGCTTCTCAGACACACCCCACCACAGTGTAAATCAAGAAGTTCATGATGGTCTGGTTCTGCCGGTGGCGCCTTCACACTGAAGCGAGCGGTTAACCAATGCGGCCCCCACAGAAACTACAGGGTGGGCTCCTGAAGGGGAGTCAGAAATTCTTTCTATGAAAATGCAAAGCACGACCTCATAAAAGAAACCCACTGCGGGAAGATGAAGAAATGTCAGTTTGCATTAAAACAAAATAGGAGCACGAACATTTTAACCATCTGGCAAAAGACCTTCCCCTACAAATGCACACAACTTGCCAGGAAGTTTGACAAGAACTCCACACAGCAATCTTTGTGCCCTAGTAAAAACTTTGAGGAAATCCAGGGCCAGGTGTTAGTAACTGGTTTGCTCCAGCCGCCCATCCCTTTTGTGCCATGCAATTGTCTTTGTTTTACTTTCAACTGAACTGTCTTATCATACAGTAGAGCCTGTAATACCATCGGAGGGAGATTGAAATAATAAGCACACATAAGCTGAATAAAATAATACTGGTATGAAGTTTTTGTGAGAAAGAAAAGCTTTGTGATGGGCAACGTCGGCTAGGTTCTGCTGCAGTAACAAATAATTCCAAGATCTTAGTGACGTAACATAACAAAGATTTGCTCCTCACTCCCTCACACATTCAATAGGGAAGCTCTGTTGATGGTGGTCACTCAGGGCCCTAGGAGGTGAAAGCCTCCATCAAGACAGTGCCCTAGTGATTACTACAGCATGGGAAGGAGTCAAGATGAATGCACTGGCTGGAAGTGACACAGGTCCCTTTCATTCTCATTTATTTCATTGGCCAAAGCAAATCACAGGGCAAGGTCCACTGTCAAGGGAAGCAAGGAAGGGCACCCTTATCCTGTGTCCTCCAATAGGGGAACCACACAGGGCTCCCAACTCTTGAGTGCCTGATATGTGCTTCCCTCATCTTCTGGTCTAAACCCTTTACAAAGATTAAACAGCCAAGAGCAATAGGCCCTGGATTCTAGTGTTCTGTCTGTGGTAGGAGCTGAAGGAGCCACTCACAGTACAGTCCTCTCTGACACTGATTTCAAAAAATTAAGAGGTGTCTTCTTGTATCCCTGGTCTCCCCAAATGAGCCCCCTGTTGAGCTTCTTATTATGTACATCTGCTATCTACTGTGTGTGCCACGCTAAGCAATTCACTTACCTCTATAAGCCACAATTGCAAGGATAAGGTGTAAAGATGAAAGCTCAATAAATATCAGTCTCCTATTTCCACACCTGCCTTCTCAAAAGTCTGTATCATATGAACAACTCCCCACTTGTCATATTGACTGCAGAGTTGTCCACATACACTGGTAGAGCTCTAAAAGACTAACGCGTGGATCTGAAATAGCCTATATTCATGTCAAAATCAGAAGACTGGGCCTTTCCAATTTGCTACACTTTGTGACAAGTTATATGAATCACAGTGACACAAATTTTGAAGATGACAGGCCACAGCTCCTTTGGGCAACTTTTGAAATATACAAGATCTAGAAAATGCCCCCAAAAGGACCCATTTCTGAACACTTGCTTCCCCCAACCCTGTTCAGGGTGGCCGCATGGCGCTCTCCTTTTTGGATTAAATTTTCTTAACAAATCCATGCCATTGGTATTATCTGCATTTTACAAATAAGGAGATGGGAGCTTTGGGAGGCAATTGGTGTCTCCAGTAAGAAGCTGAACTCAGTCTGAAACAGAAGTCCATCTGACTCTTGAATCCTGCCTTTTCTCTCCTTGCCTCCCTTTTTCTGAGAGGACATGCTTTAATGTTGCTTTTGATTGTGCTTAGTATTGTTTCAGATAATTGTCAGAGAACCAGATTGGTCACAACTCCCCCTCCCCCAACACTAAGCTGGTGCTGAGTTAAGATGTTCCAACACCCGAGGATTCTAGACAATGATGCTATATTTCCACCTGGCATCAAATGGCTTCATTCCAACAGGCTGATTTTGACATAAACCACACTCCTGTGCTCATAAAATTTCTCACGAGTGGTCTTCTGGTTCTGGAGCATGAATCTGATATCAACCACCTCTTTGCAGTTAAGCCAAATCTTGAGGTTTTGTTAAGGTTTCACTCTGAGTGAACTTGCCAATCAGAGTGAAACTAGGGTAGAGAAAGGGGTCCTAAGCCACAGAAGTGGGAGGAAACAATCTGCTTTGTCACTCAAGCACAGCAGAGCTTCTGTCTTGGGCCAGAGGGAGCCAGAGGAGGAGAGAAGCTAATCAAAGTCCTTACTTAGTCTATACTTAGCATTGTCTAAATTCCTGCAGCTTGGTCTGTGGGCTATTCCTCACTTTAGGAATTGCCGGGAATTTCAAGTCATTGATAGAGCCCCATTCAAATGTAATGTGGTGAGAAAAGCCTTGACGGTTTAGGAAATTAAACCTCAGAGAGATGAAGATTCTTCTTCAGGGCTCCACTAAGAGCAAAGAGCAGAACTGGGAAAGTCCAGGGTCTGTCCCATTACACCATACCGTCATGAAGATGACTGTCAGAAGCAGGAAACTCAATGGTGATAACCAACCTAGAGTTGGAAGAAGTAGGCTAGTCCTAGTGAGTCCTCCACTGGGCATAAACTCTTATCCCTGCACAGGGGATGGGAACATAAACCCTGGGAACCATACCCCCCAAAATTCTGTAATAGTTGTGCTCAAATCTACGAACCAGAAACAAAGAAACGACTGTAAGAGTGTATTTGTGTTTGTGTGCATACGTATTTGGAGTTGCAAAAATAATCTTCATCTATATACTGGAGGAGTTCACTTGTAAAATAAGTGATCTTAAAGAGAGTTGGTGACTAACCCAACTCACAAAGTCCTCCTTTCTCTTAAAATACAAGCCATGATTGTTCAACAAGACACTGGTCCTGGATACAGATGGTTGGACCAAAGGTTGAAACCAGGTCCAGGTGGAGCCTATGAGATTCTCTCCTAGGAATCTGGAATTGGGATTCAGTGTTAAAAATCTGGTTTTAGGTACAGTTAGGAATCTAATGTTCAATTTCCTGATCTTGTGCTATGTGTAGAGTAGGAAAAGCTGGGAAGTGGAAAAAGAGGAATTAATCAAAACAGATGTGCAGAGAAAAGCAAAAGTGAAAGACAGAGAAAGGGAGTCCTGTTGGATTTCTTATGTTGCCCTACTCCTGGTCTACCCTCTTGAGACTTGGGTATATTTAGTGCAGGATTTCCTGAGACTCTCCTGCGTTCTGATAGGTCATCATACCCTGTGCTTCTGTCCCTCCCCAACTTTTTTTAGTTAGCTCAAAACATTTCTATTAGTTGCAACCAGCAGAATCCATGAGGGCAATGGGTTTTCTGTTTTGTGCCCTGATGCCTTCTCAGTGTCTAGAACAGTACCTAGTATACTGAGGAATAAATGCTCAACAAATATCTGTGAAAGAAATTAAATTAGAAACTAACCTAATTAACATCCCTGGGGGGTTGAGGGAACAGCTTGAGCATCTCTTTCAGCTAATTTGCAGCTTGCCAAATTTTTCTGTATTCGTGCAATGGGGCAAAGCTATGTCCAAAGAGGCATATGTTGTAATCGTGTTGGTGTCCACCCCCCACGCCCTCATTCCAAGGATACATGCTTGCAGAATTTGTTGTGTCTGCAAAATAATGATCTACTTCCCTGTTGCAAAGACTGTTTTAGACATAAAGAAATGTGTTGCAATCATGATTA